TTATCTTGGGCAGGTTATGCATCTCTATGGCTGTTCTCTCATTGATAAACAGGGATAATAGTACCTCAAAAGGTCTGTTGTGACAGGTAAAGAGTTGATAAGTATGAAGTCCTTAGAACAACACCTGACACATAGCAAGCACTTAGTTGTAGAAATTGTTGCTGTGATGATGTCAATTTGGCACTCTCTATATTTCTGATGCAAAAAATGATCATGGGGAAATTCAATAAGGTAGCTGAAGTAAGTGAAATCTACTCGGCAATGTCAACTCTTGGGTGTGGCCAAACCTGAGAAAGCAAAAAACCTCACAGTTTAAGTGAGCTATTGATAAGAAGTGAGAAAAAAATCCAAAAGGACAAATAAAAAATATAGATTTTGTTAGGATATAGCTGCTGTGGCCACCTTCTCTGTATATAAAACAATTTTAGAAACATCATTGAGCATCCACTATATGCAATGTATCTATTTTCACATTCAACTAAGGTCTACTCAGTAATGTTTTTAGTTGTTCAAAAATGCGTATGATCTCATATTTTATAGTTCAATTTTGGAATTAAAAAACCTAAAAGATCTTGATCACTGATAAAATATAAAAGTATTCCACACCATTCTCTAAGTTTATATACCCTCCTTCCGTTTACTCAAACTTACTAAATTCTTTTTTCCACAATGTTTAAACAATAACAACCCGTTTCCTTTCTTGCCTTTCCTCTTTCTTTCTTATAGTTACCATAACTACAGTAAACATTTTGGAATACGTCATTCCAAACTTTTTTCTATGCATATCTATATACATATATAAATACTTATATTTATATAAAATAGGATTATACTTCATGTGCTATATTGTAATTTATGCATTTCTCATTTAATGGACTAATAAGTTCTTCACACTCAATAATCATTTCTATTTTTTTAAAAATATATTATTATTGATTTCAGAGAGAGGAAGGGAGAGGGAGAGAGAGATAGAAACATCAATGATGAGAGAGAATCATTGAACAGCTGCCTCCTGCAAGCCTCCTATTGGGGATCAAGCCCACAACCTGGGCATGTGTCTGACTGAGAATTGAACTGTGACCTCCTGGTTCATAGGTCTACACTCAACCATTGAGCTATACCAATGGGCTAGAAAATTCATATTCTTCAATATAGCAAGAATATGAATACAACTCATCAGTTCTCATTATAAATTCTCTATGTACATATAACTGGTACTCTGGCATTGCAGAGGTCTGAGGTGTGGCTACAAGGATATATACAGTAAAAATGGAAGTTTCTTGATCTCCTTAATTTATAGGAGGTTAGGGCATCTATAATTACCCAGGGCTTCAAAAATCCTCTGTGAATTAGCAGAAAATCCAGAAGGTGGTAAGATGAAAATGACAAAGGGTGGAGGACAGCATCGTCAGAGGGTATGAACCTTAAATAAATCAAGATATCTCGAGTAATGCCCTAGCTGGCTTGGCTCAGTGGATAGAGCATCAGCCTGAGAACTGAAGGGTTCTGGGTTTGATTTTGGTCAAGGGCACATGCCCGGGTTGCAAGCTCAATCCCCAGGAGTGGGCCTGCAGGAGGCAGCTGATCAATGATTCTCTCTCATCATTAATGTTTCTATCTCTCTCTCTCTCTTCCTTCCTCTCTGAAATCAATATATATAAAGAGGGAGGAGGAATGATTCAGAAGCAGCCATAGCAAGTGAGAAAGAGGTTGATCCTGATCAATCAACCTAATTAGAGGTATGTGAGTCAAGAAAGAATGAGCAGCAAGCATTTGAGAGGGTTGCAGGAGAATCTTTTCTATGGAATGCCAGGTGTTTCAAGACATTTAAAGTATGGACGGGACTGGCTAAATAATTCTAGGAACCTTGGTCCGGAATGACTCCACTTCTAAGTAAATCTTCATGAAGAGCTTCTGGGACAGTGGAAAGACTCTAAGCTTCTTCAAAAAGCGTCAGTGGGACCCAGGTTTGAATTGGCCCCAAAGGAATGCTATATCAATGGGGCACACTGGGAAAAGATCAATTAGTGTCCAGGACCTTCAGCATGTAATTATCAAAAAAAACATGACAGTCCGTCTTAGGAAACTTAGGGGAAAGGATGCTGCCATCTCTGAAGTCGGCCACAGCCTAACCCATCGTAAAAACTTATATTCACTGGGGTTATTAATCCTCAAGGCCATTTTAGATAAAGAGTTTAACATACATTAGAGGCCAAAATTAAGACGTTAAGCAGAATGGGCTATAGATTTAATTCACAGCTGATTATACAACCTTTTACAAATCATTCTTAACTGGTCTGTACTAAAATACTTAGTAAAAAAAAAATGCTTATGATAACATCAGAGCCCGTTCTGTTACAACAGGCAAATAAAACCGTATTTGTAAGAGCTCTTTGGAAGAAAAGAGTAAAAAAATATGCTATTAAACATAACTGCCAAACAGGAAAATCTTGCTAAGAAAATTATATTTGGCATCTGAATGCAGAGAAGAATAGTATAAAACAACAACAACTTAGGGTTTACTATTTTAAGACTTAGTAAATATTGAGAAAAAGTTTAAACTACTTTGAAATGAAATGACAACTTCTATCTTTATGTTCTATATATTCTCTAGTCTTGAGAATCATATTCAACATCACTAGTGGCCTAAGAAACACAAATTAAAACAATATACCATTTTCTCCTCATCTGATTTGGCATAATTTTTTTAAAATCCTCACCCGAGGATATATTTTATTTATTTTAGGGGGGAGAGAGAAACATCGATGTAAGAGAGAAACATTGATAGGTTGCCTTTTATATGCATCCTGACTGGGAATTGAACTCAAAACCTAGGTATGTGCTCTGACCAGAAAATGAACCTGCAACCTTTTGCTGTACTGGACAATGCTCCAACTAACTGAGCCACCCGACCGGGGCTGATTGGGCACAATTTTTAAAGGTCTATTATAGTTAGTGTTGAGAGCACTCTTAAACACTGCTGGTTGGTGGTTATATTGGTACAATCTTTTAGAAGAGCAATTTGACAATACTGATCCAGATTTAAATGTATGCATCCTTTGATTATGCAACTGAATTTAGAATCTGACTTACCAAAATACTCTTACATGCATGCATATAGTAAAGATGTTTATTGCAGCACTGTTTGCTTAAAAAAATGGGTAATAATATAAATCTAAATGTATTAATTGGCTGAGTCAATTAGTACATTCGTACAATGGAATAAAAGTTAGACACTAGAAAGGTAGATCTTTGTGAGCATTCACAAATTTTCCAAAGTGGAAAATAAAATCAAGTTGTAAGTCAGTGTGAAGGACAGTAATCCTATTTTTATTTGTTTAAAAAGACCCTTTAAGCACAGCCAGCCTGGCTCAGTGGTTGAGCCTTGACCTATGAACCAGGAGGTCATGGTTCGATTCCCAGTATGGGCATATGCCCATGCTGCGCGCTCAATCCCCAGTGCAGGAAGCAGCCAATCAATGATTCTCTCTCATCATTGATGTTTCTATCTCTCTTACCCTCTCCCTTCCTCTCTGAAATAAAAAAACATATATATAAAAAAGAAAGGAAGGAAGAAAGGAACGAAGGCAGGAAGAAAACTAAACAAGCAGATTCAAAGTGCTAGTGACTTGTCCTTCTTGCATAAGACTATTCTACCAGCTAGAGCCATCAGTAAGCAGCATCAAACCAGATTTCATATGGACCTCTATTCACAACTGCTAAGTGTGTATATATTTTCATCCACCTAACCATGATGAGGTACATAAATTTGACATATTATTTATTACATATCTCTTTAATTTCAAGTTTTATTTAGCAAGCACATTAAGCAAAAGGGGTTAGCAGGGTTTTACAATAATTGTTGATTCTGCCTTCTAATGAACCATTCCATAGCATCCCTATCCTGATATATTAGAGCACTGCTTTACATGATTAGAGGCCAAAGGGCCATGACTATCATTATATACAGTACAGAGTAAACATTCTTTTAGGTAGGCTGACATATAGTCACAAATTGGCACACTGTCCCCAAAGCCTGACAAATTAGTTATATGCAGGATACTTACATCAGCATAGTGGCCTAGCATATCACATCGGTCACATCGCTTTCTCCAGGAAGGTTTTCCGTGGCATCTGTGAGTAGAAGACATAGGCAAACAACAGGCTAAGCAGAAGCGGGCTGGACAGGCATACTGGAGGTGTCCTCGCTCGGAGCAGAGGCAGCAGGCACGGACTTTCTATGTGGCAGACAAACAGAAAATGTCTTTAGTAAAATACTCAAACAGTACATTAATTTTTCTTTTTCTATATAATTCCATAAAAAGTAACTTCTAATTTGAGACCTCAATGAAGGTCAAATCTGGAGCCTAATTATAAAATAAAACAAAATGTCTGAAATCAGAACTTTTACACAAGCTGTCTGTATCCTCTGGTTGCCAAAAAGGCGTATTAGTCTGCATGCACTATCAGCTGACATCTATTTCTTATGCCTTGTCTGGTAGGAATATTGGCAAAGTAGAATGTGTCTGAGAGGAAAAGTGGGAAGATGAGGACCTGGAACCTAAGTCCTAGGAAGAACAGAAAGAGATAGCTTTGCCTAGAGAAGCAAAGACAAAGGAGAAGCGTGAGAGCTATCTCAAAAATTTGAAAGAAGGAGTAGGTAATAGAAATGGTTGTTAAAGGCTTAGTATGTGTCAGGGAACATCTAAGATCTTTAATTCTGTGCTGTTCCAAAGGTTGATGTATCTGTTTAATATAATTTATATCAGTAAACATATATCAATGCCTACAATTATGATTTTCTAACCATGAAAATTCTCTCATGATGAAATAGCTGTCTCATAAAGTAGAAGGTTTAGAAGTGACAAGGGTCTCAGGAATCATCTGATTCAATCTTCTTGTTTTACAGATAAGAAAAAAGAGGCACAGAGAACTAAATAATTTGCCTAAAGTGTCCAACTACTGATGGGAAGCTGAAATGGAGTCCAGGTTTTTCTGACTACGTTTACTGTTCTTTCTCTACTACTACTCTAGGCTGTGGCCTGCATAAAATATTAACAAGACATTTAACACATATATTACCTAAGATTTTAATTCTAAGCTTATAGGGTTTTAATCCTAAGATTTTGATTTTAATAAGGTAGAAAGAAACATTATTACATATTTCACATACTTGTGGAAGAGGGCAATTTTTTGACAAATGGCCACATTTGTCACAATTTCTACAGGTGACGTTTTTGTTTGCTGTATAATATCGGTGGGTCCATCTTCCAGATGATCTATTATTACATATCTGGGCCTAAGGAGAGGGGGGAAAATAAAGAATTAAAAAACATTATTTCATACTGTTCAAGAGAGTTAATAGTAATAGTTCAATTTAGAATCCAGCAACATGGAACACTGTGTTCTTGAAAGGAGTTAGAAAAACCTAAAAGGTGTGGTAGAAAGACAACTCTACTTTTTGTTGCCCCTTCCCTCCATTCTTTTACATTCTCCAAATGGTTCCATTTCTTCTGTATCTTTCTCTGCTTACAGTTCGGGCCTAGCAAGGGCACTGGTGTGCATCAGACATGCTGGTGGCATTCAGAGTCAAAGATATTGCTGATTTCTATATCTGAATATATACCACATTTTTCTGAATGTGAAGCTTGCTTAAGTTTTTAGTAAGGGAATGGTGTTTTTTAAAATGAATTTCTCTTTTATAAAGTTATAAAACTATACAGCTAATGAATACATTCCTTCTAATGAACAGCCTAGGGTTACTGCCTATAAACGGAATTATAATTTCTAAGAGAGAATGATATTAATTTCTTTCCACCAGAGTCCTTTTAAAAATCCATTCTACCTACAATGACCCAATGCTAGCTAGCTGTCCCATATTCTAGCCAAAAGGTAGTATCTTGCAAGAAAATATTAGCAAAGCACATCATATGGATCTCTAGAGAGGAATATGTAAATGCCAACCATGCTTTTATCTTATTCGGTAGAATTCCATCTTTGAAAAAACTTTAATCTTTTACTTGTTATTTTGCTGAACTGGCCAAGTAGACTCCAAGATGTCATAATCTAATTATCTCTTAAAACTTCTCTTTTACCAACTTGTAAAATTATTCTCTTTTCTAGCCATCTGCCACAATTAAGGCTAATAAACACCTGCCACATCCTAAATATAGCCTAACCATTTCCTTACACTGAAGAAGCAGTTATTTCCGGTGTTGATTTTTAATGGTACCGGGCAATATGAGTTGAGAGGGACTAACCACCACAGAGAAGAAACAGAAGGGAATGGGAACTAACTCATTACGGTAATGAAGTGACTGACAAAAATCAAGGCTGAACCACACCTCCCAAAATTCAATTACCCATATACTGAAATCAAACTTTTTCTTACAAGATACTCAGGTTGTTGCTATTTTTAAAAGATTAAGTTCATAATGAAGTAAAAGAAAATTAGGAATCAAAAAACTATTAATCTATTATTCATAACATCAAAAACAATTTGATTTTACCTCAACGTCTTTGTCACTGATGAACCAGTTTACAGCATCTTCTCCTACAAAATAAATAAAATGTTACTTAATCTTTGACATCTTTAAAGCACTTACAGATTGACAATAAATTATTCAATTTTTTAGTACTGAAATTGGACCCCAAAGGCATAGTGAGAGACATGAATACCTTAACCTTATACCTTGGATAATTATTACTTGTGTGGCTCTGAACAAAATACTTAACCTCTCTTAACCTCAGTTTTCTTACCCATAAAATGGGAATAATAGTATTTTCCCTGTCTACCTAAAAATAGAATCTTATGAGATATGTGAAAATGCTTTGAAAACTATGAAACTATAAACAAATATAAGAAAACTAGAGGCCCAATGCATGAAAATTCATGTAAGAGGAAGCCTTCCTTCCCCTAGCTGCTGGCACCGGCTTCCCTCCGGCACCCGGGACCCAGGCTTCCCTCCTTCGGCCGCCAGCAGGCACCCGGGACCCAGGCTGGCTTCCCTCCTGCCCGGCTTCATCAGGGGACGTCTGGAAGACGTCCAGTCTAATTAGCATACTACCCTTTTATTATTATAGATCAGTGAAGGGACCAAAAACCTAACAACAGAAGCAGAAAGAGATTTTTACCTGAACTTTCCTTATCTGACTATAGCAGAGCTTTGAGAGTCAGCGACCCCCCACCACCACTGCAGGTGTCCTGTTAGGAAAGTCACTGACCTTGGGTAACAGGGACATTCCAAAAAAATTGTATAAACAAGCATCATCAAACCTTTCCATCTTCTTTTTAAATATTTTTATTGATTTAAAAAACATTTTTATTGATTTTTAGAGAAAGAGGAAGGAAAAGGGAGAAACAGAAGCATCCAAGAGAGAACAGAACATCCATCGGCTACCTCCTGCACGCCTCCTACTGGGGAATCCAACCAGCAACCTTTTGGAGCATGGGAGGAGGCCCAACCAACTGAGCCACACTGGCCAGGGTAAAACCTATCTTCTGAAGCCCTAAATCCTCCCCTTTGCTAAGCTGGTATACAAACCTTTACCTTTGCCTGTTCAGTGAGTTACTCATTACTGAGTGCTCCCACATTTTGTTTGTTCTCTTATTAAGCTCTTTATTGTTAGTTAACTCACAGCCTTTTCCCTCCCCCCCACCATTTTGGATCCAAGCAGTTACAGGGAATTTTTTCATTCCAAAATCAGCATTAACTGTGTCCACTAGCGGCCCATTGTAGTTGACTTTCATTTTAAAATCTAAAAAATTTGGATTCTGAACACTATCTCATGATTAGGGCTAAGAATTCAGTACTGTTTTTTAACTAGCATCAAAAATAGTAAAGTAAAAAAGCAAAAGAGGAGGCCAAATATCCTGAATCCATTGGTTGATCTAAAAATAAAACAAAAACCCCAGGGGTGGGGGTGGGGAGCCCTACATTTTTCTTTATCTGCTATTTTCTTCCCTTTGCACTGCTCCTTCACAAAACAGCACATGGCTGTTACTCCTTTGGTCCACCCTTGCCCAGGAGGAAGGGACATATGACTAATGCAGAAGCTAAGGTGTCAACAAAGGACTGAAAGACTTTTTTCTCCCCCAAAGCAAAGTTAAGATTTCCTCTTTCCTCCTATCTACTTTTCTTCTCTATCTCAAAAACACAAATTGAGCTTGACTCTTTTCTCTGAAAGGAATTTTGAAGAGACATGAAGTAATCTACATTTTCTCAGGCCTACCAGGAGTAAGTGTTTAGAGATATATATTTTAAAATAAAATACTTTTACTGAGAAAACCCAAGAGGCTGCTTTACAAAAAGACCAATCCATAGGAGAGCAGAGATGCTGTGCTGATGATTATTTCCTTTGTAAAATTTGGAGGCTGCATCCATATATTGAGAGTGGAGAATACATTAAATAGCAGCAGTTCCCATTTCTTCATCATCACCATCCATGCTATTATTCTTTCATTCAAAGGATTCATCTAAGGAGCAAGCTTTGCTGTAGCTTTCAAAGCTGCCTTTTGTAACTCAATGTCCTTCATCATTAAAATTCAAAATGACCGCTTAAACTCACTTTAATTATAAAACTGCCTTCATATTGTCCTTAAAAAATGAAATTCAAAACCAGTGAAATGCAAAATAGCAACTGTTGCCACCCTCTATCCACAATAAATTTACACACAACAGGGAACAGTGAAAAAAGGGAAGGTTTGAGAGAGGGAGATCCACTCCACTTAGAATTCATCAATATTCTGGGCTATGTACTAACTTCTCTTCAACAAGCTACAGTATATACTAACTTTGGAAAATCTATCGACAAGTACACAAAATAGGTTTCAATTGGAGACTAAAAATTAGACTTCTTAGTGGAAAATGAACAAGAACATAATCAGGAACATACAAATCAACTCTCCACCCTACCCATGGTTCCAGTTTTGGTTCCATCTTGGAAATGACAGCTGACCCTGCCCTTGGTTTTTTTTTATCTATCCTGTTTGCTTAACTCCAAGTCCCAACCCAATGAGAGCTTTTGTACATGGGGCAACTCATTAGAATTTCCACAGGCAGCTAGTTCTCCACTGTGCAAAATCACTGGTATGGGACTCGGTAGAAGCCTAGGTTCCAGTTTTTACCCTATCATTTGCTGTGTGGCTCTGGGCAGGTTTTTATCCTCTCTGGGTCTGTATAATAAGGGATTGGATTAATGGTACCCATGGTAACTTCTAGCACAAAAGGTATGTGATTTTACCAGATTTTCATTCATTCTGGAATCAAATACAATGTCATTCAGTCTAGTTACCTACATCCTCCGGGGCTTTGCAACTGGAACAGGGTGTCTTGCTTTAAAGACAACTTCCCACAGGGCCCAGGAGTGTCCATCTTCCATGTATTTACCACCCAGTGCAATTGAATATAAAATGGGATTGCCCTAAAAATGTCCAATATCAATTCTTAGCTGACTCATAGCCTTGTTTTGCTAATATTTAGGCCTGTGATCCTTTTCAGACTTTAGAACTGTAATAGCAATAGCTGATAACTCTTTCTTTGCATTAAATCAACTCAGTTTAACAAACATATTGAAAGGTTACAAGGAGCAAGGTGGAATAGTGTAAACAAAGATGAATAAAAGCGTGAAGCCCAGTAAAACACAAGGCGACAAATGAAAAAAGAATACAAAAATACTATGGTAAATTTAGAGATGTCTAAATTTAAGGGAGAAAGGGGAAAAAGTCACAGAAGGCTGTGCCATAAAGGAAATGCTACTGAGTTGTAATTTACATATTATAAAATATACCCATGTAAAAAATACAGTGTGATGAATTTTGACAAATGTACAATCTATGTATCCACCACAAAAATCAAATGTGGAACATTTCTATCATCCAAAAATGCCAGGTGTTACTTTGTACATATTTGCAGTCAATCCCCTACCCGAGGCAACCACTGATTTGCTTTCTGTCATGATAGATTATTTTGCTGGTTCTAGGACCACCTACAGGGTGGAGCAAAAGTAGGTTTACAGTTGTATGTGAAACATAGAGTTTATTTTTGTATCATTACTTATTAATTATTGTATTATTTTCCATATGAGCAACTGTAAACCTACTTTTGCCTTACCCTGTATAAATAGTATCATATATTATGTACAACTTTGTGTCGGGCTTCTTTTACTTCTGAATATTTGTGAGATTCACCCATGTTGTTGGGTTGTAGTTTGTCCTTTCTAATAGCTGAGCAGTATTCTATTGTCTGGATATAATAATTTAGCAGCAGTTCTCAACCTGTGGGTCGCGACCCCTTTGGGGGTCTAATGACCCTTTCACAGGGGTCGCCTAAGACCATCAGAAAACACATATATAATTACATGTTGTTTTTGTGATTAATCACTATGCTTTAATTATGTTCAATTTGTAACAATGAAATTGGGGGTCACCCCAACATGAGGAACTGTATTAAAGGGTCGCGGCATTAGGAAGGTTGAAAACCACTGGTTTAGCTGCTCATCTGATGAACATTTAGGTTGTTTCCAATTTTGGGCAGTTATAAATTAAGCAACAACAAACATTCTGCAAAAGTCTTCCTTTTAATTGACATAAGTTTTTATTTCTCTTGGGAAAATACCTAGAAGTAGAATTACTAAACATGGTAAGTATATGTTTACCTTTATATGGAACGGGCAAATTTTCCCAAAGAGGTTGTGTGATAGTACATTACCATCAGCAATGTATGAGAGTTCAAGTAGTTTCATAATCTCATCAACACTTGGAATTGTCAGTCTTTTATTTTATTTTCACCTGATGTTATTTTATGGATTTTTATTTTTTTTAGAGAGAGAACAAGAGAGAAACATCGATTGGTTGTCTTCAGTACATGGAATCCAACCGGGGATTGAACCTGCAACCTACTTACGTGTCCTGCCTGGGAATCGAACCTGCCACCTTTTGGTGAATGGGATGATGCTTCAACAACTGAGCCACCTGGCTAGGGCTGGAATGGTCAGTCTTTTAAATTTTAGCCTTAAAATGGGTGTGAAGTAGTAGTGCATTAGGATTTTAATGGACATTACTCTGATGACTAATGATGTTGAGCATATTTTATGCATTATTTGCCATTCATATGTCTTCTTTTAAAAATTGTTCAAATATCTGGCCTATTTTTAAATTGGGTTATTTTTATCGGGTGGCTGTCTTTCTTTTTTTTTGTTTTTTTGTTAAATCACAAAAGTTCTTTATATATTACTAGAGCCCCAGTGCACGAATTCATGCATAGGTGGGGTCCCTCGGCCTGGCTGGAGAACAGGGCCAATAGGGGCTGTCTCACCCAGTCCCGATAGGGGAGGATCGGGGCCGGATGGCTGGGGGGCGGAACCGCAGGAGGTTGGCCAGCTGCGGGAGCGCACTGACCACCAGGGGGCAGCTCCTGCATTGAGTGTCTGTCCCCTGGTGGTCAGTGCACGTCATAGCGGCCGGTCAATGGGTCGTTCAGTCGTTTGGTCACTTAGGCTTTTATTATATAGATAGATAATACCAGTCTTTTATCAGACATGTGATCTGCAAAT